ATCCTGTTCAGAGGAAACTCTATAGACATGTGATGATGGAAACTTTTAGAAACCTGGCCTAAGAAAATATGAATATTTTCATTAAAAAGAAAAATATATGTATGTGTGTGTATCATACTCATTGGTGCTACTGCAGAATGTGGGCTGAGTCATGGGAATACTTTGTTATATAAACAAGCGTAGTGATTTCCTCTCAGGAGCATACATGTCATGCTCCCCCCCATGAATATATGCTCTTAGTGTTATACTAACTTCTTATGTCAAGTGTGACTGTGAGTCTACTAGGTTTCCTTACGTGTTGTAAATGTGAGTGTTGACCTTTGGTGCAGAGAGAATATGTGTGTGTTGTGCCTGTGTTTTTTCAAGGTTAACATGATACTTTTATTATAGATTTACACCCACCTAAAATCCACAGACCTAGAGGAACATAGGGTTGGCTCGGTGTCAGAGAATTGTTGATTATCTTTTCAGACTTTCATGGTGATGCGCCTTTCTCCAAGCGCAGCATGTCAGATACACCTTTTCACCCTTGTACAACAGTAATGAGGTGGGGACCTGCACTAGGCTGGGTTGTCTAGAAAAATAAAACTATAGACACTGACATATGCATAAGAAAGGGCTTCATATCAAGAAGTAAACTTTTATCAAGAGAAAATTCCAGACCAGTCCAACTGAAGCCCATGGGTCCAATGCTAGCTGGAGCATCCATGGCTCAGTGTGTTCAAGTCCCCAAACTTCAGTTTTTGGGTGAACATCGATCCTTTCTTCTGTCCAGCTTAATATATGTGTGTGTATCATATACATACATGTGTGTCTATATACGTAACTGTATAGTCACTCTAATATAGTTACAGAAGTTCCTTGTTTTAGTTCACTAATTCATCAGTATATGAGGACTTTCAACACTACAGAAAACTACAGGACTCTAAATCCATTACTTTAATATGGATGGGAATAAATTCCCTGTTTCAGGGTTCTAATTTGAATAATTTTGCACTTCCTTTTCTGAAAGATAAATGCTGTAATTTTGATCATGCTGTATTTTCTTTCTTTTTTAAAAAATTAAATCATTTTATTGTGGCTTTTACAACTCATAATCCATCCATACATGTGTCAAGCACATTTTTACATTGGTTGTCATCATCATTCTCAAAACATTTTCTTTCTACTTGAGCCCTTGGTATCAGCTTTTGATTTTTATTCCCATCCCTCACTAACCGTCCCTCCCTCATGAACCCTTAATATTTTCTAAATTATTATTATTTTTTCATGTCTTATACTGACCGATGTCTTCCTTCACTCACTTTTCTGTTG